TGTCCACCCACCGACCTTCCTAAGCTGAGGCCCTGTCCCCAGGGCTCTACCCCCCAGCCCCTGGCGCCCACTCTCTGCCTTCTGTTTCTGTGACCCTGACTCCTCCAGGGACCCCACACAGGTGGAATCACACAGTGTCTGTCCTTCTGTGCGAGCTTCCCGGTGGGGTGGACATAGACCCTAAGCGCGTCTCAGCGACATCCTCCTGGAGGAGGGCAAGGCCAGGAGACCAGACCCCTAGACCCTCACGCTCTCGGTTCACGGCATCCAGCAAGTTCTAAGCTGGCTGGGGGAGAGGGAGCTGGATATGCTGATTCCAAAGTTCATATAAAAGTGAACAAGAGAAAACCCTGATAAACAAAGAGCCTGGGGGCAGCAGGACACCGAGCCCCAGCCTCGACCTGACCCGGGGCATTGGGTGCACGAGGGGGTTGACCTCATGCCAGTGAGGAAAAGACAGGCTTTCAGGAAGTGGTCCAGGGGCACCAGGAGGAGCCCCTCCCAAAACCATGCCTCCCACCTAATAAAAAACCCAAACCAGATTCCAAATCCGTCAGATTTAAATGTAAAAAAATGAAACTGCCCCAGAAAACCAGAAGATACCATGAGAGAATTCTTTACTATCTGGACATGAGAAACATAAAGACATGAACAAAAACCCAGAAGCTAAAAAGGAAAAGGTGATAAATGCATCTGTAATAAAATAAATCTAAAAGTCAAAAACTTCTGCTTGGTTAAAAAAAAAAAAAGGAAAAATAGCACAAGCATAAAAGTCAAAAGACAAATGATAATTAGAAAAACATATTCACAACTTAAAATGTCCTTAATATACAAAGAGCTCCAAGAAACCAACAAGAAAAGGACCAACAAGCCATTTGAAAAATGAACCAAGGACATCAACACACACGAACACATTTAAAAATCCTCACTCACATGTGATAAAGGGACTGACAGTTCCAACTCCACTGTTTTCACCTACTGGACCAGAAAAGTCCAGAAGCCTGGTGTCTGGGGCAGGGTCCCACTGTCAGTACCCTCACAGTGCAGCCACTGTATGACCATCGGGTGCTGCTGTCGAAACCCACACAGGTGCCTGCTGACCCTCTCTTCTGGGAGTCTCTCCCACACACAGACACACGCATGGCAGAGGCGTGCGCAAAAGGATGCATGCCACAGCAAGGTCGTGATCACGTTCCTGGTAACCGGCAGGATTAACACATCATAACACACACACGCAGACGTGCCATGTGTTGTGTAAAAACTAAGGGACACCACGTACCTGTGGGGAAAACCCCCCAAACGCACAGAGGGACAAAAGCATCAGGAAGTGTGAAGACGGGCTGAGTTTACAGGGGGTGGGGGTGGGGTGGGCAGTACAGACTCACATTAGGGGGAGCAAACCCACCAGCTCCAAAAAGCTACATGAGAGAGGAGCCGGACAAAAGGCTCACGTGCACCTGGCCTGATGCTCGCAGCCCTGGGCGCTGGCTCCCCCGTCACAAACGAGCCAGGACCCGGGAAGGGAAGCGTCCACCCAGGGCCCCGGTCTGCAGGTCAGGAGCTCACACATGGACGTGCGTCCTCCAGAGCCCAGCTCCAGGGCGCCCTGCCCGCGTCACCACGTGTGCCCTGGAGTTCCGGTGCCCCAGGAACACTGGCTGCAGTCAGGCCGGGTCACTGCACTCAGCTCAGTGCCCGGGGGAGGGGTGATGCCAGAGCTGCCCACCCGGGACCCCCCACCACAGGCAGGCAGGGCACACGGCACACGGCCACCCACGGCCCAGGGAGCACAGCTGGCTAGAGGGCAGCCTGGTCTTGACACCACAGAGCTCCGGCTTGGCCAGGACGGGCGTGGGGTGGCAGGATGCAGCCGGCCTGGTGGTCCTCATACAGACAACCCAGGCTTTCAGGGCAGACAGGGGCCGCTGGCCAGGGAGGTCTGGACCTCTGCTGGGGCGGTAGAATCGGCTCGGGGTGGGGGGTGTGATCGTGTCACCTCCCGCCATGCGGCAGACGGGTGGCTTCTGTGTGCCAGGCTGCCTCTGCTCGGGGGGAACAGCACGCCCAGCTCAGTGCCTGTGAGTGTTGAGTGAGCAGGAGCAGGGTCAGGCCAGTGGTGCTCCCGGGTGTGGCCGGGAAGGGGCCAGGGTCACAGCTGAGGGAGGGGCTGGTGTGTGCAGAGCCCTGGCTGCACCGCCGCCGGTCCACACCCAGCGTCGAGGAACCAGACGTGCAGAGCAACAGCAGCCTGCAGGGCTGGGCGTGGGGTGAGCCGGGGCCCCAAGGGACACAGCTGACCCCGCCAGGGGCTCACCCCACCCGGCACCAGGCCCCACGGCCTGCAGGGTCCTGCCCCCGCCAGGGAGCAGCGCCCAGAGAACATTCCAGAAGCACAAGCAGCAGGCCATCNATGAGGGGAAGCTCCCGCCCCCTCTGAGCGACGGTGGGACGGGGGCTCAAACCCCAAAGATGAATTCTGCCTAATTACGCGCGTGCTGAGGCATTTAGAGGTACAGATGTTTGCAATTTGCTTTAAAATGCATCAAGAAGAGACAGGACTAACGGAAGGAAGGGGCGGACAGGTGCGTCACGGCGGCCGCGGGAGAGCGTCCCCGGCAGGGGGGACACGGGGTGCTCACAGCGAAACTCTTGCAACTTTGCCATCTGTCTGACCACGTCTGCAACGTCGGGAAACCAGTCGGGCTGCGCTGCATGCTGGCTCCACTCCCGGGACCCAGGGGAGTCACAGGGCCCGAGGCCTCCCGCCCGCCCGCAGAAAAGCTCGCTCCTCACCGGAAGCAGCCCTGCTGGGGGACCGGTGGCCATCAGGCCCAGAGCTGCAGTGTGTCTGACCCTCGCGCTGCTCCCCAGAGTGCCAGGCGGCTCGCTGGCAGACAGCCCCAGACGTGGCCCACGATGTGGACACGCGGGGCACCATCGAGGTGACGCTGTTGTGAAGAGCAGTGACCTCAGCGGGGCAGTGCTCCTGGCTGGAGGTCACCACGCTCCGCACCACAGCCTGCAGGAGGTGGGGTCAGCTCCACGTCCCGGCCAGTAGACCGAGACCAGGGCCAGCTCCGTGGAGGGGCAGGGCCGACAGCAGGCCCCGGGCCCACCGCTGAGGAAAGGCGCTGGGCACAGCCAGGGGGGTGCAGGGTGCGGGCAGGGCGGGGCGCCGCAGGCCTGGGACACCGGGAGTGTGACTGCAGAGTCTGGTTCCCATAGGACCCCCGCAGCTTCAGGCCCAGAGTTTCAGGGGGTCTGCTCGAGAGCAGCCTGTATCAGAACATCCCGCCTTCACAAAACAGCCAGCCATGTCTGGATCCTGGGGCCTCAATCCCGCCATCGCTAAGCAGGGCTCGTCTCCCTGATGGCTGCCTACTTTGGGGACACGCGGGTCACCCCAGACACAGTGGGAAGAGCCGACGACCCCAGAAGACTGGGCCAGGCCACATGGCACAGGAGTGGCCAGGAGCCCGCTCTGCACCGTCGCCCAGCCGCGCTGGGCACCAGCAGGCAGACGGGCAGCCACGCACTCGGCTCTGAGCAGTAACTGGAGCGCGTGCCTCACCAACCAGCTGTGAACTAATTACAAGAAGTTCTAACTAGTCGACTCCCTCTCCAAGCATATGTTCCCAATTAAGTCAAACTGCAGCTGATTTTAATCAATCTTCCTTGAAGCAGCCTGCCGTGAAGACTCTTCCAGGGGCGAGGGGAGGGGGGCTGCATCAGGAGCAGGCCGGCAGCGCCGCAGACAGACACAAGCTGGGGGGCCGTGTGCCGAGTCACCCCCAGCCTGCATCCCCCGCCCTGACCTGGACTCTGGTCCGCAGCGCTGCGGTTACACGGACCAAGCCTGGGGCCAGCCAGGCCACCTGCAGGGCGCCTGCCTCTCCTGCGGCCTCCATGGCCCAGGGACCAAGTCTCTGCCCTCACAATGGTGTGGCCACACATGGTCTCTGAGCCCTAGTCAGCCGCTCCTGTTATCCTCCACGGGGGCTCATCGCCCCCCATTTTATGAAGGACGTGCTGGGGGCTCAGGTGGCAAAGCACGACACGCCTGAGACCACCCGGCCGAGCAGGAGGGCTCCAGCTAAGGTCTGCAGACGCGGATGCCCCAGCCCATGGGGGCCGCCCGGGGCCCGGCGTGCTTGACATCGCGGACTCCAGCCTCCGCACCCACTGACTGACTGAGCTCACTGCACCTCTGACCTGGTCTGACCCCTGACACCCGCAGCGGGGCCGCGGCGGCACCTCGTGACTTTCGGCTTCAGCAGGACTGGCTGGGCCCTGTCCTGAGGCCCGGGAGCTGTCAGCCGTGACCTCGGGCGCGCTCAACCCAATGCGGCCGCTGACGGGCAGCTGGGGATTCACCTGCCAGCAGCCACCCCGCGTCAGGACTGCGGCCCAATTAAAACCGAGCGAGATGACAGGTCCAGAGCTGAACAACGACCAGCGCGGCTCCTGGCGCTGTGCTCCATCAAGGATGTCACGTCTCCCGTCTCCAGGAATCGGGAATAAAAAAGAGATTTGATTTGCCTCTAATAGGTGTCAAGACAAAAATCAATGGCCTGTCCAGAATCTGGGTAATCACAGACCTGCAGGTTTCTTGCCTGAGAACAATTTAGACAGGAGGATAAAAATGAAAAAGTAACACTGCAACGGTGTAAACAGCTATAGGCCGGCCGGGACCCTCTGCTGGGCCTCTGCCCCCGGGAGCACGGCCAGCATACCCGCCACGGGCGCCGCAGGTGTTCTGTGGCGAGCGGTCGGGAAAACAGGCTGCGCATCAACGAAGCACACGGGGCTGGAGGTGCTGGGGGGCGACAGCGCGGCCCGAGGCTGGGGGTGCCCGCCACGGGCTCGGGACCCAAGCTCTCAGCCAGCGAGGGCGTCTGGAGGGGACAGGTCCCCGGGTCAGTCTGGCCCGTTTACCGGTAAGTGGACGGCTGTGGCGCAGGAGCCTCGCAGGAGGGCGGGCGAGCCTCGGACTAACTCACCTGCAGGGTGAGCCGCTCCAGCTGCGCCTCCAGCGCCTTCTTCTCCTCCTCCAGGCGGCTCCGCTCATCTGTGTGTCCTATGCCCATTGGTCCACCCCACACGTGGGACCACACCCTGCGGAGACTCAAGAATCCTCCATGGAAACACAGAAAAGACACACAACATGGGCTGTGGATGCGGCTGGGGTTGGGGGCCACCAGGCAGGGTGCAGACACAGGTGCTCTCGCCCCGAAGGCCCAGAGGCCACTTAAGCCCGGGGTGGCGGCAGGCGCACAGGTAGGCAGTCGCTGTTGTGAGAAGGCGGCTGTTTCTGTCTTCATGTTTTACAGGAACTGCACTGATATAGTTTAAAATAAACAAGTGCCTGGGGGCTCCCTGCTGGCTCAGTGGTGAAGACTCCGCCTGCCAACGCAGGAGACTGGGCTCAATCCCTGATCTGGAAAGATCCCACGGGCCGTGGAGCAACGAAGCCCGTGCGGCCACAGCTCCTGAGCTTGCACTCTAGGGCCCGTGTGCAGCAGCTACTGAAGTCCGCGCTCCACGGAGCCCGTGCCCTGCACAGGACAGGCCGTGGCGATGAGAGGCCGTGCGCGTGACGGCAGACAGGCCCACTCGTCACAACTAGAGGAAAGCTGGTGTGCAGCAATTAGACCCAACAAACGACCAAATATAAACAAATAAAATGAAAAATAAGAAAGTGCCCAGGAAGCAGGGCCCAGCGTTGACACGGGGTGAGGGACACAGCCTCTCCCACCAGCGGGAGTGGAGGACTCACGCCCCACGGGTCATTCAGGAAGGTCAACTCGGGAGTGGGAGGGTGATTTTCTGCAGACAGAACTGCTCCAGAATGGCCTCGCAAATCAACAAAAGCGAGATTGGAAGGGACCAAACTCTTTCTAAGGGGCCTAACTGCACCTCTGAATAAAGCACCAAGATTTATAGGGACACAGAAACGTTCAGAACCCAACAAGCTGACACACACGGCCTGCCGTCAAAGGTTACCGGGCATTGAAAGAACTAGGGAAACACGACCCACAATGAGGAGCATGACCAAGAAAGAACTACGCAGGCATTAAATCAGCATCCACGGACATGGAAAGTTATTAAAAGCTCCTGGGATAAAGGCACGTTCCATTGGGTGGGAGCTGCAGTGTCTGAGATGAAAAACACTGGATGAGATTCATGATGGATGAGACTGCAGGACAAAAGTTTAGTGCACTTGAAGACAGGGTGATAAAAACTACCACGGTGGCACAGGGAGGAAAATCAATCTTCAAAACCAGAGAGAGCAGCGTGAGCAGTGGGGCAGCTTCATGAAGCAGGATTTATGTGTAACTGGAGCCCCTGCGGGTCGGGGGGGGGGGGGAGTACAGAAAAATACTGCAGAAGGGTCCAAATGTGATCAAAGTATAAAGCCACAGGCTCCAGAAGCCACAGAAATCCCAGCACGAGAAAGATAAGCCAACAGCCCCAATGCATGGACCAGTGTGGGTGCTTAAAACCAGCGCTGATAAGGAGACCCTACAAGCAGCCACAGGAAGGAAATGCTACCCACGGAGAAACACAGCAGATTTCTCAGCAGAGAAACGCAAGTGAGAAAGGAGAAAAATCTATCAAATGCTGGAAGAGATGAAAAATGTCAACCTAGAATTCTATTCCCAGTGAAAATATCTTTCAAAAAACAAAAGCAAAATAAAGATGTTCTCAGGCACATAGAAGCAGAGGATTTATCCTGGGCGGGCTGCCCTACAGGGAATGTGTTGGGAAAGCCTCCAGGCGGAAGGAGAGAGGACACACCCAGGCGGGAGCAGTGAATGGCTTCATGCTATTTAAAACTTTAGAAAATACCTAAATCACTATTTTAAAAAGAGATCCAACAAAACCAATAAAAACATACTGGCGTTTAAGTCCAGATAAAATGTATGACAGCCAGAACACAGGGCCGCATGACAGAGGCAAGCAGCTGTAGATGACACGCTGCCTGTGAAGAGGCATCTGTCACTGAGAGGTAGACAGGGATAAGTGAAGGGTGAGCATTAAAAACCCAGGCAGCCACTAAGAAAAGAAAAAGTTACAACTAATAGGCCGAAAAGGGAAATAAATGGTATCATAAAAAAACATGCAAGTAGTTCAAAGGAAGTCAGAAATACAGGAAAACGGGAATGGAGATAGGACAAACAGAAAAGAAAATAAGACAAGGTCAAACGTAACCACACAATAACCACATTAAATGTAAACGCTCTAAACACCCCCAGTTAAAAGGCAGAGAGAGGGACTCCCCTGGTCCAGCAGCTAGGACTCTGTGCTCCCAATGCAGGGGCCCAGGCTCGATCCGTGGTCGGGGAACTAGATGCCACGCGTCACAACTAAAGACCCCACACGCCACAGCCGAGACCTGGCGCGGCCACATATATAAATGAGTATTTTAAAAACAATATTAAAATGAAAAAGGTAGAGAGGATCCAGTGGACGGAAAGGCAGCCCCCACTTACAGGCCACTGACAAAGTAGCCGAGAGTGGGCAGCGGCAATGCTGGGGGCGGGGCTGGAAGGCAGGAGACATTAGCTCTCAGGGGGCGTGGCCGGGTGCTTAGGAACGGGCACTGTGGAGTCCAGGGGGCCGATAAGCGCAGTGTTCAAAGGGCTTCCTGCTTCCTCCTGTTTATAATGAAAGTGAAGCGGGAACTGTGCACAGCGTGTCACCTCTGACCTGATGCCCAAAACTCAGGCATCTTCCCCAGAGCCAGCCCATCAGCCCATGAGGGATTCGCCAGACATACGTGGGCTGGGACTGTGCAATGGGCCACCTGCGGGCCCTGCAAAGTGGCGGAAAATAAAACCAAGAAAAGGAGGTGCTGATAACGAGGGACAGGGACAAGCCATGTAGCCCACCTGGTGCTACCCACGCAGCCCTCCTGTAAACCAACCGTCATCCCAAGTCACCGCCACCAGCTGGACAAACGGGAACAAGGGAAGAGAGGGGCAAGGAGGGAAGGATGGGCGCTGGGGCGGCTGGACAAGAGAGACTTCAGAGGAGATATCTAGCCAGTGGCTGCCCAAAAAAGGCATTTCAAAAACGTAAAACCGTTTACTCACCAAGAAGACCCAATAACCGTAAATGGACATGCTCCTAAAAGCACAGCTTCAAAACACATGAAGCGGAAAATGACAACTGGAAGGAAAAACAGACAAATCCACAAGTATGTTTGGAGATGTCAGAGCTCCTTGCCAAGGACTTAAACCTGTGGACAGATGCTGAGCAAGGACCCGCAGTCCACCAGGACTTCACACAACATTCCACCTGACACCGTGCAACACACGCTCTTCTCGAGTACAGACAGAACGTTCTCCAAGATGGAGCATATTCCTAGGACATTAATAAACACTAGCAAATTAAAAAATGAAAACTATACAAACTAATTCACAGACTATAATGGAATTTAAACCAGGCATCCATAACAGATAGGGCTTCCCTGGTGGCTCAGTGGTAAAGAACCTGCCTGCCAATGCAGGAGACACGGGTTCAATCCTTGGGTTGGGAAGATAGATATCCTGGAGAGGGAAGTGGCAACCTATTCCAGTATTCTTTCCTGGGAAATCTCACGGACAGAGGAGTCTGGTGGGCTACAGTCCGTGGGGTTGCAAAACAGTTGGACACGACTTAGTGACTGAACAACAAAAACAGAAAGACAAGAGGGAAATATCGACACCCTAGAAAACGTAACAGCACATCAAAACAACGCACTGTTAAAGGAAGACGATGAAATTAGGAAACATCTGCAGCCGAATGAAAATGAGAGCACGACAGACCTCAGTGCAGGGTCAAGTGTGGGGCGCAGCTGAAGCAGTGCTTAGGGAGAAGTCTGTAGCCTTAAACACTCATATTACAGAACAAGAAAAACCTCAAATCAACAGTCTAAGTTCCTACCTTAGGAAACTAAAGTAAGAAAAAAGGGAAAAGTACACCCAAAGCAAGAAGAACTAATAAAGCGCAGAAATCAATGAAAGAGGAAAACAATGAGAAAAATGAAAGAAATCTGACACTGTCCCTCTGGAAAGACCAATTAAATTATGAGGCTTCAGCAGAAGAGGCCAGGCAGCAGCGCCAGGAACAGAGGAGCCCACCCTGGGCCCTACAGACACACACGGGAGCCACAGGGTATCCACACGGACAACGGCCCGTGGTCCAGCCACATCGCCTACACAAGACCCACAGCCCAGCCTTCAGAGACCTTCCACACAGAATATCCAGTCCTACATGGTTTTACAGGGTGCAAACATTTAATGAAGAAATAATGCTAATTCTACACAATCTCATCCAGAAAAAAGAAGGACTAATTCCCAGCTTGGCACAGGAGGCCAGCATTACGCTGGAAGAGAAACAGATGAGGACAGGAAATAAACAAAACCCACACACCCATATCTCTCATGAACGAAAACATCATCAACAAAACACAAGCAAGTTGAGTCCAGCAATACAAAAGAACAGTGACAGCCAAGGAGACTTATCTTGTGATGTCAGACTGGTTCAATACTGAAAAATAAATCAATATTAACTACCATTTTGGCAGCTCAAAGAAGAAAAAACACAATTGTATCAATCCATGGAAAAAGAAAGGAGTTGGCAAAGTTCAACATCTGTTCATGACAAACCAAGAATAAAAGACCGATCAAGAATGGAAGAGAACTCCTACATCCTGATACACGTACAAAAACCTGCAACTAACATCATTCTCCACTGTGAAAGACTAGGAGCTCCCTCAAGACCAGAACAAGGCAGACACTCCAACCCCAGCCTGGAAGTCCTAACCTTTGGTTAACCTCCAGCGCACTGCTCAGAGAAGACATGAAACTGATACAGACAATTTATGAAAGTCGCTCAGTCGAGTCTGATTCTTTGTGACCCCGTGGACTGTAGCCCGCCAGGCTCCTCTGTCCATGGAATTCTCCAGGCAAGAACACTGGAGTGGGTAGCCATTCCCTTCTCCAGGGGATCTTCTCGACCCAGGGGTCGAACCTGGGTCTCCCGCACTGCTGGTGGATTCTTCACCATCTGAACCATCAGGGA